TGGGGGCCTTGATCTGACCCCCCCCCCCTTCCCTCCCCTCCCCTCCCCTTCTACCACATCAGTCTTACCAGCTAGACACAGCTCTCTAAGCTGCTGGGCTGTGCTCCTCATCATCTACATGCTACACTGCAGCTGCATGCATGCACAGGCCATTTATCAGCCAAATTATCGGCCATAGCAAGCCAATTTCTGATACAGACAATTTTCTTTATAGCGGTGCCGATCCAATATTGGATGGCTGTATTGGTCCACCTCTACTGTCTTCCCTGAACCAAATGCCCAGGTTGTCCTTGTTGTCAGGGCCCTGAAAGGGGAAAATGAGGAGCCAGATCACTGTGCTGACTGCCGTAGACTTGTCCTGTCTTTTGACTGCCTGAGTCCAGTATTGTGGGCACAAACGAAATCTCTTTGCAGCTTTCCAGCCCCAGCATAAATGAGCTGACTGTACCTCAAGCAGGCAGAGCTAAGGAGCGTTTGCTGCTTGGTAAAATTCACATGGTTTAGGAGAGAAAGGAGAAGGCCATTCATGTAGCATGGGTTCAGAGGAGTGATTTTTATATTTGCAGGAGAGGCACCCTGGAGATAGCAAAAATTATAATGAATGCATTCGGCATGAGACCATTCGAGTAGCTGTGTGCGACATGCTGGAAGGAAAGTGCCTTTGTCCTGAACCTTTACGGTAGGTAATGGGGATAGGGGCTCCACCTAAGCCTGAAGGTCTTAGTCTGTCTTCACTTAAAGCATCTTGTGCACTTGCTGGGATGCTTGTGGGGGGCTGAATACCTTGGAAAGTCAGTATGATAGTGTTCCTTGTACTCAGACCTCCTGTCATTCCTGAGGGTCCAGTCCTAGCCCTACCAATGCCTTGCTACATTACCCGGCACTGATCACTTAATCTCCCCTGTTCTTGTTCCCAGTGTCATTTCCTCATCTCCCAAGGGTAGGTGACTAACTGTATCTTGCTCTGAAGATGGCTGTTAGCTCTAATATTCATATAGTAACTTATGTTTCCTCTGAAGTGGTTTATCTCATTGGTCATCTGGTGAGTTCAGTGACCTCTTTCTCTCTCGATAGTCTTGTTACCAAAGCTGTGTCCCTTTATCAGAATATGGACACAAGTGAATTCAAACTTTCTGACACCTAAGGTTGCTCTGAGCAGTGAAATAGTTACTTTGGCTGCCAGGGCAGACCTGGACTTGGATGGATCATCCATGCACATTTAGAAGGCATGTGGGCTGTTGTGGATTTCATAAACCCTAAGTTTGCTTAATGATTACTGAATGGAGGCATACGTGGCCACAGGGTAATGAGACCATTTCTGTAATGCTCAATCTGGCTGGACTTAACCATGTGCTCTTCTGTTGTGTTCCAGGGGAGTAATGGAGAAGTCCTTCATGGAGTACTATGACTTCTATGAAGGAGTGTGCAAAGAAAGGCTTTACCTCCAAGGACAAACAATGCAGGTAAGACCCATTCCAAAGATTCTCCATTGACTTAGCAAGAAAGGCACCATTCAGTTATCTATTAACATGTTAAGAAATAAAAATGCTGATAAATGTGTATGGTGGAGTTGGCTAATTTAGATGGGGCCATAGATTGTCCTCCTTGTTACACTGGCTGAGGGAATTCATTTAACTTCACTAATGGCATGCTTAATGAAGGGGATGGGGTGGGAAGGGTAGGATCTCTTATTCTCTCCAGACGTGTGCTCTGATTACATAGCACCCATGAGACATTCCAGTGGGTATTACTGCACTGTCCTTCTCTTTAACATGTATCTTCTTGATTTAAATAAATGCTGGTTAGCCTCATCAGAGAGAGTGTTTCTTCCAAGAACTAGAAGTCAGAGAAGATGCACAAGCTGAAATGCAATAGGATTTTCTCTTCTGGTGTGTTTCTTGACTCATTCTTGAATAGAAAACTGATGCCAGCTGCTTGTTCAGCACTTGTGTTCTGATACAGCTGTTCCTATCTATAATTTAGTTAGCTGGTATCTTTCTGCTGGCTTTAGCTGTGCTGGTTATTTCATAGGAAATCATACAAGTCCTGGGACACTCCTAATTCCACAGAATACCTATCAGCATGTTTCTTTGCTGATGGTAATGTGCAATGCAATCCTTCTGGATCTGAGGTCGGGAGGGAGTTCCTGATTAGTCATCAAAACTGATTTACTTCTTAAAATTATCTTTATACAATTATCCTTATTTGTAAAGATTAAAATTACAAGAATAAAGCAGTGATAACAATACACATGTAAAATCAAATATGCTTTGCCACAACCCGGTCTTGCTGCCTTCCATATCCATTGACTTTACAGACCCCGTACAACACTTTCTAGGTTGCTGAGCTTATTCTAGCAGTGAGTCACCCCCTAAGAAAAATTATGCTTTTCACTGTTGCCACTTGCCAAGATGTTTACATCTGAACAGAAGATTTATCCTTCTACTCAGCTGCGTCCTGTCTTGACTCATTAAGAGCTGCTACCGCTGTGAAAGAAAGGAAGTTAATTTTACAAACTAGTATCTACACGTGCCCTTTATTCTGTCAGTATTTGGCTCTACAGTCAGTGCAATTAATGCACCCACAATGTATGACTAAAGCAAAAGAGCTTTTGTTTGGACTGATAAGCTCTATGAGGTAAGATTGTGCCTGACTCGCACGCCTACAGGAATCTTTGGCAGAGTGTCTAGAGGCTGTATTGTAAAACCACATAACCGGAAGGGAGTATTATGGGGTGGCACCAGTCACTTTTACATTTACAATTGCTCTCTCTGCAAGGAGAGGAATTCTGTATGGTTATAATTTATTATTATTATCTTCAGGAGGAGAAAAAACCAAGAGTTAAACCTCCATTGCCTCTCTGCCACTGAGCAGCTGTGCAGCCACAGACTAATTGGATTACACCTGTGTCTTAACTACACCATCTGTAAAATGAGGATAATAATTCCTTCCCTTCGATATAATCGACTAAAGAGGCATTGTATGTTTGGTCCTTGGTCTCTCCTACTGAAACAGTAGCTCATAGTGTGTCAACCCTGGCAATGGGTCTGAAACTAGTCCTTGGAACCCCTGATTCATATGTAGCCCGTGTTCAATCAGCTCTTCCTTTCTCAGGCTAAGATCCAGGCAAGTTTTATTTACATGAGGGCTTTCACTAGAGACCTTTTGAAAGAGACAAGGTGCCATTAAAGCCATGTTGATGTTGAAGAGTCCATAGCATTCCTGGTAACCATCGAGGATTTCATCTTTAGCTTTGACCAGCTTTCTACCATAAAGTTCTCTCTCCTACAGAGGAGATGGATTTCATAACACCTGTAAAGCACTAACATGTTGATGTGTGTTTTAAATGGCTCTACCATGTCTTTGAATTCAGGATCCTTTTGGTGAGAAACGAGGCCACTTTGACTACCAATCCCTCTTAATCCGTTTGCAAGGAATTCGGCTTAAAGTGCAAGAGAAACACCAGCAGGAGAATGCAGAAATAGACTCTGACAGCAGCTCCTCCGAGACAGAGACAGATGCTCATGGGTGCTCCAAGGCTTAGAGCTCTGTAGATAATTGAGAAACCCAGACCTGGAGATGTTCAGTCTTCAAACTCTAGGATACACCCAACGGACTTGAACCAAACCAATCCCAGAGTGGACAGAACTGAGGGAGCTCATCAGTCTCCTTTTGAACACTCTGATGGATATAGTTGAAAGAGAAGACTTCATGCTAGACAAAGCCAAGCTTGAGACAGGCTACTCTTAAAGGTACTTACTATGCTAGAAAGCTGGAGCATGTGGCATCAGGTTATTTTTGGAAACTCCTACACTGGGTTATTTTTTGTTTTCTTTACTCAATTAAAAGAAAGAGATCTAGAATGCAACTCCTTTTTACAGCTTTTCTGTACTTAAATATACAGCATGCCCTTCCCTGGTGCTACGCTGAACTCTTAAGGACCAGAGCTGTAGGAGCACTTTGGAGTCTATTACTATGAAGCCCTCGCTGCTTGCCCAGGTGTGACTTCCCAATTGAGGAGTGGTGGGTGTAACTCATGCTTCACTCAAGCCCGCATACCTGCCAATGTCACTGTTTTAGACAGACCAAAGACAAAGAACAGTGGTAGAATCTGGGCTTCTTTCAGAAAGCATTTATCCACCTTCCTAGGTGGTTTTCTTTGGCTAGACTTCAGGGAGAAGGGGGAGAGTAGTACATTTAACCAATCAAGTACAGGTGTATTTACCCTGAAATTCGGGGGAGAAAAAAATCATTGGTTCTTAAAAACACTTAGAAGTCTAGTTAATCTTTTTGAGGTTAAAATCTGCAGGGAATGTTATATTCCAGCTCCTCAGAAACAGAAACATTCTTTTCAATTGTTTTGCTTTTCAGTCCCCATAGTCAATGTATTTCTTTCTGCTAACGTTTTGGAGAAATAAGCCTTGTTAGTAACAATATTCCCCTTGCCAAACTTGGCCAGTAGCAATGAGTAAGTATGGCTTATGTTTTAATGCTTTGACGGTTTTGTTTTAAGAGCAGATTTTGAGCAATTCAAACCTCTTGGGAGAGGTGTGTACTAGCTCTGAGTGCCATTGCATAAAGGATATATTCAAAGCAACTTGCATGGAGATGAAACACCCTGTTCAATCAGAGAAGCCTGATGGGCAAATGAGATGGGAAGATACTGTATTGATGATGGGCTTAATCTTGAGGGATGGGGCAAGGAGTTAATGAGAGCATTTATTGAAAGTTAAGCATGTAGTTGCACACTGTCATGTCCAAAAAAAACCCTTTGTGGAAATCCCCTCTGTGGCATCGTCATACTATCCAGTTCAGTCAACTGTGTTCAAAAGAAATTGCCTTTCTGTAGATCAAACTGCAGTTTCTCAGTGTCCGCTGTGTTGGTGAGTATTTTCAATAAAGATGGTTTATGTAGCTATCACTATTACATGCTTCAGAAGCCTGCATACCACTGGTCTGAGAAGCTGAAAGATGGAAACATTCCTGAATTAAGGTGCCACCTAATGCTTAGGAACTTTTTCCTTTAGAAAAGAAACTCCCTAGGGTGTGTCATTGATATGGAGTAGAACTAAAACAGTTTTCCCTTAAGGGAAAAGTTAATTTAGGAATCACTTGACATGCACACCCAATGGAAGTAAAGCTGTGTATACCTGACTGCAAGATTTTATGGAGGCAAATGAGCCTTCCCAGAAGTAGTGAGCTGGGGGAGTAGTGAGCTGCGTGCTACATTGCTACATTTAATGCCTCTTTAATCCCATTGTAAATCTCATGTTTTCTCCATTCAGTGTCATCCTGACTTTACACTGAGGTAGAGCTGGGACTCTGATGCCTTCACAAGGCAGATCTGGGTCAGAAGTCTCTTATGTGGTGCATGTGGCATTACCATCTACACAAAAATGATGAAACAAGAAAATGCCTTATTGTGGACACTATTCACACAATTAGCATGTGGCTGTAAATGAGAAGTATTAGTTTTATAGCTCTAATGTTGTCTGTCCTACCATTTCTGAATGTTTCCATTTCAACATGACAATCCTCAATGACTGCTCTAGGCAGAGATGTTTTAGTAACAGACTTTTTGACCTAACGAGTTGAAGATATATGCACAAGAGTCACTATAAGATACCTTGTTTATATACAATTGTACATAAGATTTTTTTGTGCAATAAAGTTTGTTTTGGCAGAATCTAAGCTGTTGTACTTCCATGGGACTAGCAACTCAGTTATGAAGCAAGGTAGTTTAAAAAGCTGCTGTGTAAATACTTCAGCAAAGCAGGGGCATTGCTTGCTTGTGTCCCCAGAAAACTGAACTTCATTCCCATACTAAAACTAGAGCTATACTTTTGCATCTCTTGATCTTCCACTTTAGAAGAGCAGCCCAAGAAGTCAGATTCATTTTCCTATGAAAGGCAGTGTCCTTGCTGGTACGATTGATACATTTTCAATGGCAATTTAAGAGTTAAAGCAGGTACAAATCTGACCTAATAACTGGCATAAATCTGAATAGTTTTTTAAAGAGTTTATTTTTGCAAGTCAACTGTCCCTTCACTTCAGATAATACACAGATAATG